TTGGCTCCCACCTGCCTGCCTGTCAAAACAACCAGTGTGCACAGTTCACATGGAGACGTCTTCTACATGACCAGTGTCCAAAGACTAGAAGAAGAGCTATTTTTTCTAATTCATATAAATAAACTATGAAAAAAAAATCATAGAAAATCAAACAAAATTTAAAAAAATTAAAAGACAGATGAATATCTTTCAAATGAAGAAACAAGAAAAATCCTCACAGGGGGTGGGGAAAGCCTAAGGAAACGGAAATAAGTAATTTTCCTGATAAAGAATTCAAAGAAATGGTTATAGGATGCTCACCAAACTCAAAAGTGGAATAGAGGAACTGAGGGAAAGCTTCAACAAAGAATTAGAAAGTATAAGAAAGAACCTAGCAGACCTGAATTATTCTAGCACCCTACAACCTAGGACCATTTACCCAGCAAGGTTATCATTCAGAATTGAAGGCAAGATAAAGATTTTCTGGGACAAGCAAAAACTAAAGGGCTTAATCACCATTGACCCAGCTTCACGAGAAATGTTAAAGGGTCTTCTTTCAGTACAAAAGGGAAGGCCAGAGCCAGAACATTTTCAAAATCTGAGAAAGGGAAAACACTCACAGGGAGAGCCAAGCATTCAATAAACAGAGCAATCTGACTTTAAAGTGTCAAATCAACTCAAACTACAATAAGTAGCTAAATACACAACATGGAAAAATCTCAGATATGGCATCAATAACACGAAGCATGGAGGGGAGGAAATATGGCCCTTGTTGAATACATTCTGATGTGAATGCCTATCAGCTTAAGCTAGACTGCTACAGGGAAAGGATGATAGACACAGCCTCATGGAAACCATAAACCAAAGACATACAAAGAGCAAAGAGAAAGGAACCTAAACGAAACACTAAAGAAAAAAACAGCAAACCACAAGGGAAGAGATCAAGAAAAGAAGAAAGAACTATAGAAACAACCTAAAACCAATTAACAAAATGGCAGTAAGTACATACTTATCAATAATTTCTCTAAAATTCAATGGATTAAATGCTTCAATCAAAAGACATATTTGCAAATGATACATCTGATAAGGGGTTAATATCCAAAATATATAAAGAACTCATACATCTTAACACCAAAAAAACATCTTAATCCAATTTTTAAAATAGACAGAGGACCTGAGCGGATATTTCTCCAAAGAGGACACACAGATGGCCAACAGACATAGGAAAGATGCTCAATATCACTAATCATCAGGAAAATGCAAATTAAAACCACAATGAGACACTACCTCACACCTGTCATAATGACTATCATCAATAAATCAACAAACAGTGTTGGCAAAAATGTGGAGAAAAGGGAACCCCTTGTACACTGTTAGTGAGAATGCAAATTAGTGAAATACTGTGGAATTCAGTATGGAGATTCCTCGAAACATTAAAAATAGAACTATCTTATGACCCAACAATCTCATTTCTGGGTATGTATTCAAAGAAGCCCAAAACACTAATTTGAAAAAATATTTGTACCCCTGTGTTCATTGCAGCAGCAACCCAAGTGTCCATTGATAGATGAACAAATAAAGAAAATGTGTGGTCTGTATACACAATGGAATATGACTCAGTTATAAAAAAAGAATGCAATTTTGTCATTTGGGACAACATGGATGGATCTGAAGGGTATGATGCTAAGTGAAATGTCAGAGAAAGACAAATACCATATGATCTCATTTATATGTGGAATCTAAAAATAAATAAGTAAACAAAACAGAAACAGACTCATAGATACAGCTGATGGTTGGCAAAGGGGCAGGGATGGGGGGATGGGGATAAAAATAATAATTTAATTAAATTAACCTAGGCAATGTATGTCCTAAATTGTCTAGAAGTGTTTTGAGGCTCAAGAAATATAGTTTTAATTTTATGGAAATGCTATGATAATATGTTCCTACACCACAGTATGCTCCCAGAAATTTTACCAGAACTCAAAATCATCGAAGTGGCAAAAATAAAAATAAAAAATGTTTTAAATAAAATGTGCAATGTCCATGGACACACGTGGGTATTATATAACGTGTATTACACACACATGCCCTTGAGAGGGGCTGGTGGCCAACACATCTGAATCCATCTGGCGTATTCCCTCGCCCTCATCACTGCATGCTCTTTGGTGCAAGTGACCGGAAACAGGGTATCTAAATTTGGCACATTTCAAGGTTAAATGATTCAGCAAACAGAATTTGACCTCAAACAATGTGACTTTGTCCATTCACCCATCCACCTAGATGTGCACACACACTCCGTTTTCCTTGCTACGACTCCATAAATGTCTATCCGAGAAGGTTACCTGCTTCTCCATCTAAGGCTTACAGAAAGAAAAGGCATCTGGATGTGTCTGTTCCTCCCCCTCCATGCTCTACCCCCACCCTCTCAATACACATGCAACAGCTGTAAGAGCAAGAGCATGTTTTTAAAATTCCATCGGCACACAACTTGAAGCAGCTCCAAAATGGACATCAAGTAAAAAAAAAATACCAGTTTTCAAAAGTCTATAATTATGTATTTACACAAATTACATAATCCTGTATGTATTTACATACAATTACAGATTATCAAGGAAATCACGCAAGGTTGTAGTGTTCATGAGATGAAACAGAATGAAAACACCATACACTGAATCCATTCATTTAGCTACACAACAGGACCTGGTAGGGACAGGTTCCCCAACCTGGAATGTCCTTCACTTCTGCCTGGGAAATTCACAAGACAGATGGGAGGGTGGTTCAGTCATGCCTGTGAAGTCTTTAACCAAGGTGCACACATTGGCACCAATAACATAGTGGTAGTACTGTCTGAGCATCTGCTTGTGAAAACTGGGACCACCAATTCCACAGCAGCTCAGGGCTGCCATCCAAAGGACTCTGAGTCTCTAGGGCAAGAACCAGATGCGAACCTATGAGCTGGGAGCAACTCGCTCTGCTGCCCAACAGGACGGTGCCCACCAAAACCTGAGCCACCTACTCTCCCAGAACACTTATTTACATCAATTGCATAAGTCAATATTTATTTATTTACAGACCATTACAGTTTATTGTATCCATTGCCAAAAGCATATAACATTTTTTTCTTTTTTTAAAAAAAATAGGTACCAAAACAAAATAACTCCAAATGTAGACATTAAAGTAGCATTTTCTAGGAATGCATGGAGCTTTCGGTTTTCTTTCTTTTGGGCTAATTAGCACCTCATGCTACTTTAAGATTACTTTTGGTTATCACCTAAAATCAGCTTTTTCAGTGCTAAATATTGTCCTATGACATCCTAGAAACTTGATTCTTCCCTGTGGTCAGATGCTTAATGTTTTTCAGTCAAAAATATTAAATGCCTTTTGGAAAAACTAAAGCCTGAATATGTGCACATTTTAGCAGCAGCAAAGAGTTAAGTAATAAATAAGACTACTACATCTTGGGATTAAATGCAGTTCCTCTTTAGAAAGTTAAAAAGAAAAGAAATGAAAAGAACATTCTGACCTTTATCATAAATCAACTATCTTACACTGCTTCAGTCCCCACCCCCCACCGTATTTCTTAATTCCAAAGGTTAGACTTTGTTTTCCCCGCAATGCACATCAGCAGGCGGGCTCGGCTGTGTGCTCCAGCCTGGACCTTCGAAGGGCCACTGTGCTCATGACAATAAGTCATGGGCTTCTGCTTCAAACAGCTTTAACCAGTGACATACTTTATTTTTCATAGAGAATGTGCATCAGAGCAAAACAAAGTTGGAATATTAAATTTTAAAATTAGCTACATAAATCCCAACACATTTTTTGTCACTTTCAATTTCCAAATGTAACTGACTAAAACCTGTTCTCTGTGGTATGAGAATTTGTTATACATTCCTTTTTCTTAAATATTGCTTTAAGAATGTGGCTCTTTTCTCCTTAGATAGAGTAAGGAATAGTCCCTCTTGCCCAAGGGCAAGTTCCAAAATTATTGCTACTAAAGAAATATGTATTCTTATGCTTTTCAGCATAAAATGGTATAAAAGCCTTGTAAAAGACAGTCCATACAGTAACCTCCCCTCTAAAAAAACAGGAGCACTTGTGAAGATCTCTTTAAAAACAAAACACCGTCAATAAGTGTAATATTTCCCCCTCATTGTCATTATTGATGAAGACTTACTAGTTTCATTTGCAAGTTTTGCTTGAAGGGTCTATCACCATGAATTCTGACAGTGCCCACCAAAAGCAATTTTCTATAAAGGATGTTACAATGACCCCTATGGTACTTGAATAATTTCATATTTGATAACCAAATGCATAAACAAAAAGTTCACAAGAATGATCCTACAAATCTGGTTCAGGTGTCCCTTTAAAAAAAATCTGTGCTATGTAAGAAAATTTTTTTCCTTTTCAAGAATTCTGTATCAGACAATGTTGAATGTTCGTCCTGTTGTTCCAGAGACCGTCCAGAACGAAAGCATGGCTGCTGCTCAGCTTTGGAACGTTCTGCAACGGGTGCAGACACGGCAGACATACGCCGGCCTTCGTGTTTCCAGCCATGACATTGCAAGGATGGCATCAGTCACTTATGAGTGAATAAATAGTATAGACACAGAATAAAAGTTTGAGACCCAGTTTATCTTTAATCCTCTGGGATAAGCTATGAGACAAGCAGTCTGAAGAGTGAATACTCAGTGTCATGGGTGCTGTGCATAAGTTTACAATAACACGGGCACAAAAGAGATTGTCGCCTTTAGTACATTAAGGGTCATTAGAACTTCTCACATCCATGCAAAGATATCTTCACTTGCATGAGTTCACCACAGGTTCATAGCAGACTTTCCCATTTAATGCTTGCAGAGCCTAAGCTTCCAAAATGCCTATCTGGCCTGTACATATTTCATTAAAAATAAACTCTATATAATAAATAAATATATAAAATAAATAAAATGTTGCCTTTGGAATTTCTATAAATAAATTTAACTTTTTTTTTTTTTTTTACTAAGAGGTCTTTGCTTTAAATTCACTGGGATGGCACCAGTGAGAATTAACTAAAAAGGTCTCTTAAGTAAGACTGCACCCTCCATGCTTTTGAAAATGCAGTGTACCCTGCGCAGGCCACCAGCCGAGACACCACAAGTCGAAGCGTGGCAGCTGTGCAGACACTGGCTGAAGGACAGCTGATCGGACGTGAAAGTGTGTCTATTCCCCAGCATGCATCAGGCCACCATCCTCTGCTTGCTCCTGTCTTTGACTCCCTGCTGCTCTCACTCACACACACGCACACGCACGCACACACTCGTGCCTCCTCGCCTGTTCCCACAACAAATCAAGGGGCACAGGCAGGCGCGGAGGACAGGCCTGTGAGTGCCACACACCAGCATGTCCCCCAGGCCTCCACCCTACATTATGCATGCGACAAAGTTTGGCAACAGTGGAGCAGATGTGATGACGCAGCCAGTCAATAAGAACCCCGCACGGAGCCTCTAGAGTGGTCACTTCTTTAAGGGCTCAAGTGAAGAAATGGTCTTTGTCAACTTTGGCTGAGAATATCCTTATATAGTTCGGGTACTTTGTCGGGGTCCACTGGTCTTGGTAAAAAATGTGTGAATTTCTGGTGCCTTTTAGTCCTCGTTCCTTCTCTTGGGGTCCCGTCTTTATTTAATGCAACATAGTATCGCCTTCCAGTGTCCACGTGTTTATAGAGATTTGAAGAGTATGTGTTATACCAGTTTTCTTCAAACTGTTCTCTGAATACACACTCTTGAGTTAATTTTTCCTGTTAAAAAAAATAAATAAATAAGTATTTTTGCAAAATTAGCTACTTTCTGTATTTACAACAATATTCAATTGCTACACACTATAACTCTACTGAGAAAATGGTGATTTTAACCCACTATAACCATTTTAACACATTTTGTCAAAATTGCTTAACTGTATAAATTTAACACATTTGATTTCTTATTCAGAATGAAAGATTAAAGCACAAAAGATTCAAAGAATTTTCTAGTTACACTTTTCCACCCACCTGTTATCAGAATGAGTCAAACAGGCAAAGGACAACTAACAAGATGAGTTGTTCTCCTTTTTACTATAGCAATTAGGGTAATGATCATCCCAGCAGAAGCCAAGGTTCAGGTAACTGTTTTGTCTTTTCTATGATTTCCATAAAGTACTTGCTACAAAGACCACCATGAGCACCATTACCAATGATGTCAGATGTGGTCTGACCTGTGGCCAGTGGTTTGCTTATCCCTCCATGAGCATGCTTTTCAGATCTCAGTGTACACAAGAAGCACCTCAGATGCTTTTTAAAATGCAGATTTCCAATCCCTAATCCTTTAAAATTCTGACGCAGGAAGTCTGGAAATATTCATTTGTAACAGGTCCTTGGGGAAATTCTGACACAGATATTCCCTGATCCACATTTTAAGATATAGTGTCTTTGGTCATGACTGAAGTAAAAACAATATTCTAGCCCTGCTGTTTCCCTGAACTTGATGGAAGAGGAACCCCCCAGCTTAAAAAGCCACATTCTCAGACACACAGCTACCAAAAGAAAAGCTGCACCAATTCCCACATTTGTAAAAAGGTCCCTCCACCCCCGAATCCGGGGCTCCTGGGGCTGCCTGCCACGGGCTGGAGCTGCAGCCAAAACACCTTGCACACTCCATCCCGGAGCCACGAGCGAGGCTCCACTCACAGCCTCGGGTGCACACCTGACACAATAGGCTCCATGGCTTTTCTGCCCTCCTCACCCTTCTCCTGAAACTTTTAAAATCAATCCCTTCCTTGACAGTACTTTTTAAAAATAAACAAAAAATGTCTTTTTAAAATCTTCCCCTTGCTCTTGCCCACCTGGGACCTTACATAAATAAGAAAAAAACAAATCTATGCCCACACACAAAGTTAAAACAGCAGAACAGGTCAGGACATTGGACATGCTTCCAATTCTGTCATTCATACCAGAGGACAGACAGCAAACTATACATCATCAAATACACAGGTCCTTCCCCACGTGCGCCCATCTGACCATGCGACTTAGGACACTGCCCTCCCAGGTACAGCTGGGAAGAACCCGTCCTCTCCAACTGCTGTGGAGTAAGTCAGGAGAGCAAAGGAGGGGAGAGAGGGAGAGAGCCGACAAAATCAGTAGTCCACTAAAGGCCACCTTCTTGCCTTCTCTTCTTCAATCAACTGAAGGTCAAAACCCCCTCAAAAGCGCAGGAGGGAGGCCTGCACTTCCCCACAGTGCCCTCCAGGTGATCGGGAAACACCCCGTAGGTCTGCATCAAAGTGTCATCTCATTGGACAAGTTTCTGCTAAGTGAGTAGAAACAGAAGAAAGCAAAAATTAAAAAACAATGCATCTAGCAAGGGCAGAAACGGTAAGAAAACTGAATTGCTGATGCCGGTGTATGGGAACGAGTGGCGGCAGTGTGTGAGAAGTGATCCACACCTCCTCCGGAAAACAGCTCCCCTTTGGCCAGGGGAGGCTGGGACCTGCAGGAAGGGGCCCTTCGCCTCCTCTAACATAAACTAGAGGCACATTCTTCTGAGGTGACACCCTCCTGTACCCTCTGCAATGGGGAGATGAGGCTGAATCTCTCTTAAAACTGACAAAAGTAAAAATTGTGTGTTAGCCCAGCCAGAGTGGCTCAGTGGTTGAGCGTTGACCCATGCACCAGGAGGTCGCCGGTTCAATTCCCGGTCAGGGCACATGCCCAGGTTGTGGGCCTGATCCCCAGTGGGGGGCGTGCAGGAGGTGGCCAATCAATTTTCTCTCTCATCGATGTTTATATCTCTCTCCCTCTCCCTTCCTCTCTCTCTAAAATCAATAAAGAAAAAGTATTTTTTATTGTGTGTTAAAGACACTAACAGCTATTTCAATATTTCCTTCCATCTGTATAATAAATATTATCTTCACAGACAAAATTACTTATGGCTAAAAATGTCTGCTTTGGATTTTATGTGATTAAATTACATTTTCTAAACAAAATTTGTTCACTTTTTCTTAACTTCGTAAAATGGAAAGAACTATGGGATTGTATAATGGGCCTTTAGTTCTACAAGACATGAAAAGCTAATTCAAGTTAAGCTTTCCTCTTCTCAGATGGAAATCACATTGCTTGACAGACACTTTCCTTAAAAACCAGACCTCTTCCTCCTCTTCCGGAGCATGAGCTGTGCACTAGCTTGTACACACATCCACCTAGCTGTGCACACTGGTGTGTCCTGGGTGAGGAACACATGAGTGCCCGCAGTAGGAGACAGCCGGTATGCACAATGGCTCTGGAGTCTGAGGCCTGTGCGGACCCTGGCTTTGCCCCTCACTGGCTGTGGGCATTTAAAACTAATCATCACCCTCCCAAGTCTCAGAATCCCACCATTAAAGCAGGTGAGGAGTAGGGATCTTGAGAGGAGGCCATGACAAACGTGCACACAGAGAGCACCCTCCGGCATGAAGGAGTCCCCCACAGACAGTGCTTCAGGTGGCACCACAGCCCTGGAGCTGGAGCCAGCTGGTGCAACTTTCCGTCAAACATGTGCGAAGTGATCTGCCCCCATCCATGCCGCAGGATCTTGTAACAGTAATGAAGCCACTAGAAGTCTCCAGGTTCCCCACTGGAGACATAGGCCCTTCTGTGTCCTACTTGTCACTATGCAGTGTGATGCCTCCTGACCCAGGGTCAGTCTGTCCCTGAAGCCCCGGACGCAGCTCCCAGGGGCCTGGCACAGGGTGCTGTGCAGGAGAAGGCTTGGGGTCAGCACCCTAACCGAAGACTCATCCATGCTACACCCCTTCTCTACTTCAAAAATACACCTTTTTAAAAACAGTTTTAGCCCTGGCTGGTTTGGCTCAGCTGTTACAACATCAGCCCAAGGACCAAAGGGTCGCAGGTTCACTTCGGGCCAAGGGCACGTACCTGGGTTGCAGTTTGTCCCCAGCCCTGGTTGAGTCATGCAGGAGGCAACCAATCGGTGTGTCTCTCTCACATCAGTGTTTCTCTCTCTCTTCCTGCCCCCTCCCCTCCACTCTATCTGAAGATAAATGGAAAAATAGCCTCAGGCAAGGATTAAAAAAAAAAAAAGAATAAAAACACCATTTTACAGGAGGAATAAGAACAGATGAAAAAAAACAAATTATGAACAAAATTCTACACTGGTAGAAATATCGCAGTCTAACAATGAAACACATTTATTTTCAGTATTTAAGAAAAGATTCTCACTTCACATGTTTTGAGTTTTGTTTTCGTTTGTTTCTTTGTTTAGTTTTTTTAAAAAGTTTTAGAAAAAGGTACAACTAGCACCTTCAAACTCATCACTAGCAGCAGCCATTTGCAGATGGCTTTGGAGCTTATACCTGGTGGCCCCAGGTAGAACACAGGTAGTGGCTGACCTTGGCCTGGGTCTCCCAGGAGGCCCCAGAGCCCACACACCCAGTAGACATCTTCAAACCATGTCAAAGCACCACCACCCAACCACCTCCACAAGTGACACACTCAAGGGGTAGGCTCAGTGGATACTAGAGCCCTGCTGAAGTAACTATTGCTCCGTGTGGTGGAACCCTGCAAAGCTGATCTTCCAAGATGGTGAGGTCAGTGGTCAGTGGGCACAGCCAGTCCTTGCAGCTGATCAGCCTGAGTAAATCCCTCCCATTGATGTGCCAACAGCAATCAAGACTCAATGACAACTGAAAAGTATACAGTACACATGAGGTGTGCACTTCGAGTGCCCAGCTGAGGTGATCAGAGAGGCTGTGCCACTGGACCCTACATGATAATTACTATAATAGGGTGCCCTACCAAGCCTAGGAGACATAGCAGCTCTATGTAATACATAGAAACACAGGGAGGCAGCCAAACTGAGGAGACAAACAAGCATGTCCCAAATGAAAGAACAGAACAAAACTCCAAGGAAAGAACTAAACAAAATGGAGATAAGCAATATAACAGATACAGAGTTCAAACTAACTGCTTACAAGGATGCTCAGTGAACTTAGTGAGGGCCTGAAGAGCATAAAAAAATACCAGTCAAAAATGAAGGATGCACAGTCAGAAATGAAGGATGTACGAACAGAAATAAAGAATAATTTACAGGAAATCAATAGTAGAGTAGGTGAAGCTGAGAAGCAAACCATCGATTTGGAATACAAGGAGCCAAAAATATCCAATCAGAACAGAAAAAAGAAAAAATAATCCAAAAAAAAAACGAGGATAGTGTAAGGAGCCTCTGGGACAACTTCAACGTGCCAATATTCACATCATGGGGGTGCCAGAAGGAAAAGAGAGAGAGCAAGAAATTGAAAACCTATTTTAAAAAATAATGACAGAAAACTTCCCTAACTTGGTGAAGGAAACAGATATACAAGTCCAGGAAGCACAGAGAGTCCCAAACAAAATGAACCCAAAGAGGTCCACAACAAGACACATCATCATCAAGGTTAAACAAAAGGTTAAAGACAAAGAGAGAATCTTAAAAGCAGCAAGAGAAAAGCAGTTCATTACCTACGAAGGTGCTCCCATAAGATTGTCAGATGATTTCTCAAAAGAAACTTTGCAGGCCAGAAGGTAATGGCAAGAAATATTCAAAGTAATGAAAAGCAAGGACCTACAACCAAGATTATTCTATCCTGGAAAGCTATCATTTACAATCTATGAACATATAAAGAGCTTCCCAGACAAGAAAAAGCTAAAGGAGTTCATCACCATCAAACCAGTATTATATGAAATGTTGACAGGTCTTCTAGAAGAAGGAAGGAGGGAGGAGGAAGGTGGGA